CAACCCACACGAGCTATGGTTTTGAGACAACGATTGTCGAACACCTGAAGGCGTCTCAGGTCCGCTGTTCGAATAGGCCAAGTCTCACAGCCATACAACAGAACAGCCCGTACTGTAGCTTGATACACACGTCCCTTCAGATTCAGGGATAAACCATTCTGACGCCATAGGTGTCTCAAGTTAGCAAACGCGGCCCGAGCCTTGCAGATTCGTGCATTCACCTCATCTGTCACACTACAATCAGAACTAATACAACTTCCAAGATGCGTGATGTCCTGCGTTGCACACTGGTCAGCTTAAGTACACATTTCGCCCTGCGGGTGGAGAAACAAGGGGTTTCGGTGTGACCCCGTGAATTAATGGTGACCGAAAATTTGTCTAATATTGGGTTTAACTCGATTGCTACAGCCTGGAAACGAAGATTGGTAGGCCAACTACTTACGTCACATACTGTGTTCCCAATGTGCGCCACTGAATTTGTCCAAAAATAAGCAACTCATGGCCTCCTAATATCCAAATCCAGGTAGGCTTGTCGTACCCAGCTTCATAGAAGTAAAGTTAATACTTTCGAGTGGTTGATGTGGTGCCTGCTTGATCATAGTTATCGTGTCCTCATCTAAACGTCCTCTCACACAAACAAGTTAGATAAGCCGGTGCCTGCGGTCCCGTTTCTCATTGTCATAGTTCCGGTTGGCACACAGAATATGTGGTGTGTAATCCTTTATCATGTAGTGGCTAAATTTATACTAAATCGTGTGATCTAAAACCATTATTCATACGGTTTCTTTGCCGTCTAGTAAACCCGATAATATCCGCACTAGTTCTCATATAGCAACGACCAGTGTGGATTGAACTGATGAGACTGGTGTCATCAAAGCCGCGCACGGAGTGCTTCTCGTTGGTCAATTTTTATTGTGGCGAGTAGAGTCAAGATAAGTGTCACACAAGAGACACTCCAAATGTTCGGGAGTATCAGGTTTATTCGGGTCGTACGCAAAGTTCAAGAGGAAAACTATTGACTAGTGCTCTTTCGGTGTAGAAAAAACCGTAGGATCCGACGACTGCTGGGTAATCTTCTTGAGAAACACCCTCACCGAAGAAATACTTTGGAACTACTCGAAGGTTGATTTATGGAGTAGGAATACTGTGTCTAAAACCCTATGAAGCCGTGCATTCGCGAACCGTTTCAGTATATGTCAATCTTGTGTCGTGCAGTCTCAATCCTTCTGAGAGCCTAATAGTTTTGTTGGGCTTGTTGGCGCTCTTTTGACGACTTTCTCTCTCCTTCTTGTGTTTAAAGTGGTTCAGGATATTAGATCGATTTTATTCGTATTTTGCATCTTACTCGATGCAGTTAGGTGAATTGTAGTCACTTTCCAAGTTGCTGATCGAGGCCGCAGAAGATTCTTCCACTCGCCGCATTCTATTTGATCACAGATATCATAACCCGATCTGAATGTCATGAGACAGCCGTTGGTGCCAGTGAAATCTCACTGCACAGTTCTCTTGAACAGTTGTCAGAAATTGCAGTGTTTCTGCCACGAGCACAGAGGATCTAAACATACATCCCTGCATTAATAGTTCACCGTTCACACTCACGGAATGGAACTGTCTTTGTACCTTCTAAATCTAGTCCTCTCAGCAGAGCATTGGGGTTCTGGAAGTTAGTTACCTACAGTGCTCTGAATTGGCAAACCGCACTGCATCCATATGTAGGACAATATGCAAGATAAACTTATTTGCAACTCAATTTAGCTTCGACAGAAGACTTAGTTGAATATAAGCTGAGTGCCCCGTTTATGATATTCTTCGGCTGAAGTTGCTGTCTAAGGCCATAGATGTTCTTAGTTGGTAGGATATTGTAGTGCATTTCCTTGAAGGAAGACTATTCAAACGTCGGAGGGTTTTCAGTAATATTGTGAATAGTTTTCCTTTAAGAAAAGTGGCCAAGATCCATTTATCTCAATCCTTCGCTTATGTGGCGACCGACGCCAATCAAGTTTTTCGTCGTGCCTTATGACAACGTTCGATTATGTCCTGATAAACAGGCCTTAAAATCCGAAGAGACTAGGTCCAGGATGATGAGGGAAAAATTCAAAGACAAAACCTTGCAAGCCAGCTCTAGGTCAACAACAAATGATTGTCTGGCGTCCGTTTCCGGATTGACCTGCCACATCAAACTACACCGGTGGGAACCTGAACAGAGCGAGTATTGTTACGTACGGTCTGCACTGAGCCACATATGCGGCCAACTGAACACTTTGTGGCTAGTTCAGGTCTAAGGGAATAACACTGGACGGTGAGCAATGAGCATTTCTAATGAGTATTGCATTGGGGTATCCACCTGTTCAAAGTTCCGGGGAGCAAGCGTAGTTTCAGCTGAGCTGTGGTTGTGAGTGATCCTGAGACTTACCGGCTCTCCAGGGTCCTTAATTGATGATTTAACCTGTGGTGGTTGAATTTTTATCGCCCAGCAACGCTACTGAAATTTGAGTTTCGGGTATTGTCTTGCGTAACTATTCATTCTGCTAATGCCTTCAAGATGCCTTCAGACGCCTTCAGATCAGAATTGTTGAGAATGGGAGTAGATAACGCTAGCCCAAAAACACAAATGACTTCCAAATGAAAACGCTCATACCTGAAAATACTACCCTTAGCTAGTGTCTAAATCAAGTTTCAACTATAAGATTCGTCACAGAAGTGACAACCTTTGGTCGATATTTTGAGTTGAGGAGACAAGTCTAGCAACATTTTCTTCTACACAGCATTCTCGCAAGTAAAGCAGCTTGTCTCATCTGGTTGAACACGATACTCTTTTTGTTGGTGGTTCGATTTCCTGAGGTAAAAAAACCACGGCAAATTACTATCGCAAATTATTTAACCACAGAAACAGTAGAAAGTAATCATGACATTTCAGTCGTAGTTTTTAGTAACAATTACCTTATTGGATATTGTGTGGAGACGGAGAAGATCTGACTGATCACCACAGGACACCTGAACACATATAAAGTTTATAAGATACCTCCCGAGAAGTCTAAGTAAACGTTCATTTGGTTTTTCCCCACCAAGCAAGAAACCATTGCTACTGTGCGCGGTCGATGTGCCTGAGTTCGCGTGAGAAAATCTTGCAGAGTTTACGATTAGCAGTTAATAAGGAAAGAGGTGGACCATCCTAAAGTCGGCTCCGCTTTAACCATTGAAATGAACATCTCTGATGGCGTCAGTTCCCGTAACACACACGCACACATTCAGTGCATAAACACGACCGCGTTAAAAGTTGGGATAATGCACAGTGCTTCATTCTTTTCACATAAATCTACGATAACTCACCAGTGCGTTGCTCCAGTGAAATAAAACAGACGCTCCGAGATTTCACGGTTCCCACCCGTTTGTGGGCAGAAAATTGTCAATCCACACACTAGGGGAAATCGAATGAATTTTTTCCCGTTCTGCCCGCAACGGTGGAACAGGAAGCCGCAAAGGCGCCGTGATGTTTCGTCGCGGATAAACAAGGAACTTGACAAACCACGTGTCGATGGAACACGTTTCCAACGCTCTGTACAAACTCAGCTGCTCCAGGTTCCGTCTCAACACCGGAAGTACCGCCCACAGGAAATCGACGCCAACAGTGGGCGCTAAGAAATGCTGGCAAATATGGTTTGCAGACATTTATCGCATTCCAAATACGGCACAACTTACTTGCTTGCAATAGTTCATCGTATGCGAGGATAAAACTTTGGGAATAATGTGCCACCCAATCCTACGCTCTTTTGGAACGGTTGAAAACTGGTTTCAGAGGTTTTATTATTCAAAATGTTTGGTGCATTTCAGTCAACTAAAAGTAGGCGCTTCACTAGTTGCTATCTTTTGGTTATCCTGATCAGTTGTCGAAAAACAATCTATTATTTTTGTAAGTGCTTGCAATATTTGTTTAGATTTCCACCAAAGAATTTGCCGTACGAAATCCGGAAAAAATCTGCGGTTGCTTGTTTGAGTCGAAGCAGAGTGTGTGCACTCCGACCTAGGATGTTCACCTATGGATCTGAACACACTTTTGAAATGCAGGTAGTAGTCAAGCCGTGTGCTGAATGCCCAGTTCTGTATGATAGATCAGCCGTTCCCCCCATGAAGCTCAGGTGCTAAAATAACTGCCGATTTTTTTTGTAGGGATTGAGATACAGCATTGAACATCTCAAAGATTTATCAGTGGAATTAACGTAATTTCTTCAGATACTGAAGGCCTATATAAATAGAGAATAGAAGACCTGGCGAAGTCAGTTAAATTCAAATAGCCGAGAACTGGTCCCACAATCCACTTTTGCTGTATGAAGAATCCAGAATACCATCAAAATTCTCGGACAGGCTGTAGATGATCCCTTCACTGTTTTTTTGCTGCCCTTGGGAAGAAATTCGAAGTGGAAGAGCCAAAGAGTAGAGGAGTCAAAGATTGGAGAAACCTTTTTAAATACAAAACATTGTCACCTTTAGTAGAAAGTATCACGAGAGTTGGTTGAGATTGAAATGTGAAGTCTAACTTCACGTAACTTAAACAAACCACTAATACTTTGCTTACAGGATGACTGTCCTATCAGCTGAACTGTCGAAGCCAACTTATGCCTAAAATTCACAGCTGTTTCGCTGCGCCAGTGCCTTTGACAGCTTATAACTGTCAGTGACATTAATGTGCCCGCTGTGAGACTTCCAACATCGATCAAATGCATAAGGGTTTTTTAGAAATAAGAAGGTGAAGGGGGTGCTAGTGTTTTTTAATTGAGAAGCCCGGATATCAATGGTTTGAGTCCCCCAACCCAGAGGTGCCTGTTCGTTCATGCTATGCGTACCTGGAGATTCATTCTCACTGTCTTCTTTTGTCCAGGAAAATTAGCGAAATGGTGTGAGTGCGACCAGGTTAGCTAACCTACCATAATCAACACTTCGATGTTATTTCCCATTATCCAAACGCGTGAGAGTATTGTGGTTTCAGATAAATGCGTAACAGTAATGCCATACCACCAGCTTGAGGGTATTTTCCGTTCGACATCTTCATTCAGTCAGATGGTTCTTGCCCAAGTACAGTCCCTGGATTGTTCCTTGGATTGTGCTTCTTCTAGTCGATTACCAAAAGCCTTATGTATATACGAATAAGGATCATCAGCATAATACCTACGCCTTGGGACAACAAAATAGGTGCACCTGAGAATCACACTGAATTAAGACAACTTTGCGAACCTCACTCGACATGAGCCCACTATCCAACTAAAAAGTATCAGCATACTCACTACTGGCACACCTTATGTACCACATCCTGTAGGGCTTCTAAACGCGCGGACTCCAACCCGGAAGGCACGAAGGTCCCACAGCGCTCAGGCCGCAGTCGAATTCAGTCCACTTAGCCTAGTCATGCCATATCCTCCACAGGCCTTTCACCAGCAAGTGTTCGGAGGTGAAAACACTACAGACTGAGTTTTCATTTGCCGTTCTAGTTATTCTGATTTATCGTTAATACAGACGCATCACTTCAATGCGATGCACTGCAGGCAGTTATCGTAAACATACTGCGAAGGCACCGATGATCAATCCGCCCAATGTCCTCAGATCGAAGGGATGTGGTCTCACAACCACAAGACATAATCGCCTCTTACACACGGATCTTAACCTCGGTATAATTCGCTTCTGACGCCTTCAACAAAGCAAATTTCGCTGGTTTTCTGATAATGCGGGTGTTGCCTTCTGTCACGGTGTAGTCACGGCTTATGCAGCTGCCCAAGTTGGTAAACCGGCAGGCAGACTCGACCTGTTCTCCTTGAAGTTTTAGAGAGACACGTAATTAAAAATCATGAAGTAGTAATTTGCACATTTCTGGTGCAAGGCGTATGCAGAAAACAGGGAGCACATTCGAAATTCGATATTGCGGAGAACGTGGAGACTAATTGTCATCAAATAAAAGGACGATGCACTTCGCATAGTCCAACGTCTACTGGCCTTCTTTTGAATACAGTACCAAAATCATTGACAATATCATGACAATATCAATGGGAAAAGTGGGAAGAGGGTGCGGAGTTGAGACAACTCCTGAACGTAAGCGACCAGAAGTGTGACAACACACTAATGGAGTCTACTGAAAGTGAAAATACACTTCAACATGAATGCAAGTTTTTCTTTGAGGATAGTGAACTTCAGCGCAACAGATGCAAGTCCAGCTGAAGCACTTCACTGTTGGTATAACTAGTCTATGTGTTCCAAAAGAGCGAACTTCAAGTAGACAGATCCAAAAGCACCGAAGAACCTCGTGGATTAATAAAGAGGACAACAGGACAACCCTTCATTTTAAGACCTTCTGATAACATCTGTTCATTCATGTGACACACTGGAAATCAACTTATCAGAACAGCCAAACAAATGTTCACTCTGAGGACAAATTGTATGGGATTGTGCCAAAGTGATGACCAAATCAGATGCAGGCATCAGTCATTCACGCCCCATCCATTTGAATGGCAGATTTAGAGCTTTGCACTAAGCACGGTTATTGCTTCACTTTATGGTGACCTGGATCGAAATGTGATACCGTCTCGTTAAGGCTGTGGCAACCGATCAAGACGGTCACCTTGCACTTTTAGAGTGCCTGTTGTTGAGGCTGGATGGAATCTTACCATTCATTAATAATTGATACGTTTTCGTGCTGTAACTTCAGGAAAAATGAGCGTATCCTCTTATCATGTAGGTTAACACACACGATCAAACGATCGGTTTGATCCTCGGTGTGCTCAACGTTGAAGAATACCATTAACGATCGATTAAGAAGGGATTCCGTTGAGTCCCCTGTTATCATTAGTTCCCACTTGCTTAAGTAACCTTGGCTGAGTCCCATTGAAAAAGATTGCACCAAGTTACTGGAGCCTCAGATTAAGATGCCTATCCTATTCACGGTGTGCTCTACGCAGTATTTTGTCATTAGGTACCAACGCTCAGTTTGAGTAAGTTTCCTGGAAAATCAGAATGGGTGTATCTGCTGCGTGTTTTATTTCATTCGCATTCTTCGGAATCAACTATTTGTTGTTGAATTTTGAGAAATAATATACGAAAGGAGAATGAAGTTTAGAGTTGATATAATGTTGACGAACCACCATCAGCATAGAGGCTGCACATGAAGTTTGAAAAATATCACCAGCTTGCACTAGTGTGAATGCTCGTTCCAAAATCGACTAAGACAAGGGACATTCCTGTTCAGGTGGAACGTCCTACCAGCACTAAAACATCTGTGCTTCACACGCGGATGTGTTTTGTTCCGTGAAGCCATTTGTGTTTTCCGTTTTATGAGATCCTATTCATAAGTACCTCGTCACACGCCTGGTATGTTTCATTTTCGACTAAAATACGCGTGGAACAAAATATACGACCTATGCGCGTGTACCAGTTACGGTGGTCATGGGCATATGATCCAGTCCACCACAGCCGTGTGTCCTCATGAAAACAATCTTACGGCTGACACGCGTGTTTGGTTTCTCGGACATTTCATAGACGCATTGTCATTTTACAGATTCAGTGCCTAACTGACCTCCAGCTTCTTGTCTCAGTCAGCTACAGTGACAGGTGTATTTTGCTGACCTCAGTCTGGTGTGTTGCGGTTATGGTCGGTCACCCGTGTGTATGACTCTTGGACAAAGAAATGGTTCAAAACTACTTCCATATCGTACACATGAGACATCACAGTATCTGCACCCAAACTAGTGGAGGATCATACTGACACGGCAGATATTCGGTCGATAGAAATCCTAGATCCACACCTCCCGGTACCAGACAGAACGATAGGTTTCAGTGGAGTTCGCGTAGTCCGACGGATGGTTTCACTTAGAGACCCCGAGTATCGCACAGTTGTCGGAACGACCGATCTTGATTTTATAAGATTCAGTAGTAGCTGACTCACGTTAGTTTAGCTTTCGACCATCCTGACTCGGATTTTGCACGAGTGAAGGTTGAATATCGAAACAGTGAAGACAGATTCATCCTATACGCACCGTACTATTAGCTAAGTAAACCGGCTTGTGGCTCTTGAAATGCCTCAGCCTGATTAAGTGACCGACCGCATTCCGTCAGAATGAATTGCGACTGAAGCTTAAACACAAATTTCAGTCATGATTCGGATAAAACTTTGGGAACTTAGAGGATTCCTAGGGAGGCAGGCTCGCAGGCAGCAAATCTGTTTCCATTAGAACAATTTGAATGGTATAAGCTCGCCATTCTGGATTCCTTATCCCAACTTGGGTTTAAGAACTTGGGTTTTGGGAACATTCATACTACATTCAATGAACTCCTTGAAGTTAAAATAAGCCAGTCTGATCTACTTTAGGTGAAATTCGTCTATTCCAAAATGTAGTTTATCCCAGGAAATTCTTTTGAAGAAATAGTTTTCAGAGGTTATGGCCATAAGAATGATCAGTCATTTCTAATTTATACCAGTATTTTCAAAGAATTAATTCTACAGCCTACCGCGTGCCGAAACTGATTGCCGATCCCACTGAGAAAGGCCTATGCAGACGGGTTACTTTATGTATGCTTTCCCTCTCAGACTCCATTGCCAAGTGATTAGTTTATGGTTTTGTTTTCAGTGTTGGTCCAGTTTGCCGTTCTCGCCCGGCATCAGCCAAGTGTTGAAGATATATAGAAACACTGGCTATACTGCGAGTTCCATTTCATAAGAACTCCATATATGCACAAGTTCGGTTTGTTCCTAGTGATCACAACCAACTCTAAAAATGAAGCACGTCTACCAGCTTTTCAGCGTTCGTCATAACAATGAGGAATTAGGACGGATGATCGGAGGCCAGCTACCCCTAGCCAAGATTGCGATGATAAGTCTCCCTCCGTCGAATGGATGACGCACAAACACCATGGGCTGTGTATTCCGCCAGTGGCACTAGTTTTGTGTACCAATCTGCTGACGAGAACCTCGACATTTGTTTGTTTGTGTGATCACTTGAAATAGCCTTCTTGTTCAAAATTTGAAGGACTTTCAATATGCTTACTTCAACAACGGTGATGTGTGACAACAGGATGCACCACAGTAAACCCGGTTGCAAAAGAGCTACAGAAGCTTGTCTGGACTTCTTATCTTTGAAGCAAACTGACACCAAAAAGGAAACGCGACGCCTTCCAACCTTTTTTCCACGAAATTTCCACCGAGTTTCTCTATCTGAATCTGCAAGTGACAAGCTCTCACGGGAATCTTGTTTAGTTACTTCACTTCCCTTGATTTGGCACTTTCTCTCCCAATATGCGGCAACTTGAATTGAAGTTTTCATTCGTGGTCACTGGAAACGTTGGCGAAATTTCTACCTAAGGAGCAGTTTTTTTGTCCACAACATCCCGCTGCTGGAGCAAACTAGTTTTCATATCGAAACTTGTTTTTCTTTCAAGAACTTAAATAGAGTGCGATGCAGAAGTAACTCCTTGTAACTCCCTTGTAAAAGTAAATGATTAGGCTACTACATGAACCAAAACAGGCTACGGCTGTTAGGACGGACGATCGATCTGCGACGAGGTCTGTCACCTCAGAGAGATTGCCCTATGGTCAATAACTATTCCGTAGTTCAGTAAAGACAACCCTTCTAGAATCTAACAGGGTCACATTAAGTTTAATTTCACAACCATAAACTTCTTAGTTGATTGTACGACGTGGAGAAGCAGTGTTACATCACGGTTGTCTTGGCCGGTACTGAGACACGTGCAACAAAATTACTTATCTCTCTGAAGCTCCGGTCATTAGCAATAGAACCTGAGGTTCTCTTCTGTGACATAACCCAATATTCATAGCGTTGTGCAGCAGGTTAACAGTTGCTCAAAATCGCACAGACTAATTCCCCAGTCCTTCTAAGTATCTTGACTACCATTCATTTGAGGAATACTGCTAGCGTTAGGGCAACATAACTAATCCAATTGGGAGCTGGAGAACTTACGGCAAACAAATTTTGATTTGGACGCACAGAATGATCGACGTTCACTTAATCACTCTGCAACAAAAAATCGGGATTTTTGCAGTCCCAGTTCATTGCATTAGCGAGAATGTTAAAAAAGTATGTCCAAAATCAAGTTATCAGTTGTAGGAAATTAGCTGCACACGACACCAGTAACTTAGTATATAAGCCAAGTTTGTCTCCACCTCATACTATGAAAGTCACCACAGCAAAATAATAAGTAATTCAGAAGGCATTTGGCTGTAATACCCTTTCAGTGCCTAGCTAACATACCACCTGAAGAAAGCACAAGGACTAAACCTCTGACAGGTTGCCCAAGCATAAACAGGAAAAATCAAGTTGTCTGGGTTGGGTTCGAACCACGGACCTTTCGGTCAGTAATTTAGTGCCCTGACCACTGAGCTGTCTCGAAATTACAGGTAAAGTAAACCAGCATCATCGGACTATCGGAGTATCACCGACTGAGAGAAGCCGAGTGGTGTCACTACCTAAACGGACGATGAGCGGTGGTCTGAGGTCAAGGTAAAATGTAGTCAAGACGTGTTCCATTACCAGTGGGCCTGGTTTGTGAATTCCGTTCAGCTGTACTTGATTGAGTGTGAAAAGACAAACATTGTAATCATTTCTGTCCAAATATAAGGTCCAAAAGTCAGTGCTG